AACTTTTGAACTGAATCCCTTTGACACCTGCTACACATAGAAATATTGCAGTGGTGTCGTTTGGGAGGACTGCAAGAACAGACATTAATAGGGTAAACATTAAAGAGACTTCCTCTTACAGACATTGGGGGATTTCATTAAATACATATTTAATTATCATATAAATACAGCTGTTAAAATAACTGTATAAAACATCTATGTTTAGGTGTGTAATCAGATTAATTCCTATTTACATCAGAACTGATACTCTTGCTGCTTATGTATTAATCTCATGATATTACTTGATGAGATTTTCTAAAAGTCATGTAAAAGCTGCACAACATTGATTTAAGGGTTTAAAAATTCAGTGAAAATTTCTAAGCTGGGTGCAATAAATTGTTTGAGCACTCAGTTCATCTTCCATCATTGTATAATTACCATTCCACCATTTAAAAAAGGTTTTGAATTATTTAAAAAATATTAACTAAGGATAGGTAAACGGTTATATCGCAGTTGTGTTCACAGAGAAAGATCTGAAAGGAATATTGCCCTTTACTTACCCAGAAAGCTATAAACTCAAATTTCCAAACAGATTTTGTTTAAACCCACCTAATTCTGCAGTAACTCCTTTGACTCTATTGGAAATTATTCCAGATTTTTACATGCATAAATGAGGCAAGGCTCTGCAAAGAAAACATAGAGCTCTAGGTCAGATATTAACACCAACATTTGGACAAAATTCTTCTTCAGTGTGGTGGGATTTGTTGTTTTACCTAGCGGCAGGAGAGAGCCCGTGGAAGTTAAGTGGAAGGAAAATTAGGTTAAACTATTCCATCTAATAGTGTAAACGTATTTTTAATTTTCAGTCAGTGCAGTTTTGGGACACTGTTGAAAACGTCAGCACTAATCATAAGTTATTAAACAAATAACACAGACATGACAAATTCCCTGGGCAAGAACTGTTTGTGATTTTATGGACATATTTTTAAGCTGCAGTCCACTTTCAGTTGTACCAACTGAAAATTACCAGAGCTTATTTATTATAGGCTGGCTGGAAGATTGCAAACCAATTGCTGGAAAAAATTACTTTGAGATTAAATTAAGGGTTTTTTTTAGAAACTTTATTAGTTAATTGAAAAAAAAGAAGAAGGCTTGCTGTTGGTTTTTACTCCAGCAGATAGGATGGGAACCTGCCAAAAATCTCTATTAGCTCTTCATATGGTATCTTTCTTATTTTTAAAAATGCCAATTTTTAAAAATATTTGCAAAATTAACTTTACTCCAGCAGATAGGATGGGAACCTGCCAAAAATCTCTATTAGCTCTTCATATGGTATCTTTCTTATTTTTAAAAATGCCAATTTTTAGAAATATTTGCAAAATCATTACTTTTCTCTTGATCTTGATATGCATCAACAGCTTCTAGTTTGTTACGGGACAAGGGTCAGGAAAAACTGCAAATTATAGCAAAAAAGAGATGGAGTAGACATAGGTGTATTACAGGGCTCTCCTGGGTTTTCTAGGGGGTTTTTTGATGCTGATTTTCTGTAGGGATGATAACGATTTTAGATTTCATTGTTATCAGCTTGGATTTTGCATCTAGTCCACAAAAGCTTGGAAACCGGCCAGTGTTTGGGGAAACTCTCTTTCTAGGAAGTGAAATCACAGTTTAAAGAATTTCAGCTCTCCAGGACTTTCCAGATCAAGGCATTTTCAGGTTTCTCACACCATCACTACCTTATTATAGGAGAAAAAAAAATATTAAAAAAAAAGGACCTTGTTTTCTGGCTTCGGCCTGCCAAACAGAAATGTCAGGATCTCATGGTAGAATAAACAGATTTTGCAATATTGTTCTCCACAAAGTATTTAATTTCAAAGCTAAATCATTCACTGTTCAGACAGCACTCTGAATTCTCATTCTTGGTCAGAAACACTACAGATGATGCTGGAAATAACCACAGAAAGCATGGATGGGATGGTACAGTTGTTTTTTTTCACTCGAGTTTATTTTGATTAACTGAGCAAAGTTAATTTAATCATTTCAGCTTTTGCCTTTCTTTTAACCCCATGCTGTTCATACTGTTTTCTTTGTAGTCACTGAACAAGAGACTAAAGTGCCCAAGAAAACCATCATCATGTAAGTGCTGATTTTTTTTTTTTTGTAACATTTGTGTTTTGCCTTGCTGCCTATGCATGATCCAATAACAAGCTTGTGTTTATTGGCCATGCAAGAGTGTTCGTTCCCATCCCACCAGATCTCATGGTGTTCTGTGCTACGCAAAGTGACAACCTGAAAAAAAATCTTACTCTCCCTTTTAAAAAAATAGCAGCACTGGTGTTAGACACAGCCTGGGTCAGGTTTTTTATGATATTACGCATGAAAAAATTCCACTGAATACTGCCGAAGTTGCACAAGAGCTCAGGAAGGTAGAGTCTGACTCTCAGTGTTGAAAAAAAAATCAGCTTTGAGAATTGGCTACTTGAAAAAAATGTACAAATATAACAAACATCTCATAGCTTACCGTGATTTCTTCTGGCTTTCTATTTTAAATTTTTCAGGAAACCCTTTTATGATGAAGCAGAAGGAAGATATACATTTTTATCCCCTTCTGTCTCTATATTTCTTCTATGAAGTTTCATCCTCATAATGACTTGGGCTTTTTGGATACTTTGAGCCTGGTTTATATTGGGTGTCTAGCATATAAAGATTAATTGCAGCAAAAAGCAGTACTTTCTCAGTCATATGTAGACCAGAAGCTCAGCAGCCATTAAAATCTTAAAGTATCTTCTTGTTTTTAAGTATCGTAAACAAATACATAATAAAATTGTTTCATGCGCTGGAAGGGGGACATTGTCCTTCTGTGGTAGGCCTTCAGAGCACCTCCAAGCTATTCAAATCATGTCCCTAATGGTAGTAGGTGACTATACAATGGCTATTTTGGGGAAATGCATTCCCTCAAGAGTTGAATTATTGCTAAAATCAGTCCTTGACTTGGACATGATGCTAAAGTTGACTTTTTTTTACTTTCGTTAGATGGTGAGGAGGATGGGTAAAACAACAGCTAAAATACGGTTAAGAATTGCTTACTTTTTATCTCTTTTTTTATTTTCTATGATGACTATGAGTTACGATCCATGCACTTAACCCGTTTGGAGCCACTGGCTTATAAGAAGACATGTCCCGCCTCCTAGCAGCTTCCACCTTGAATAGGGAAAAAGCAGACAGGAGAGGCAGGAAGGGGTTCTGCCTTTGCCCCTCTCTCTTCAGCACATCAGTTAACATCTCCAGTCATTAGACTTTTTCACCCTGCAAAGACCAGAAAACAAAGGTGTTTCTGCCTATACCGTCTCAAGGACCAGGGTTCAGATACCAGTGGGGTAGCTAAACAGAGGAATAATTTTTTGTATCATGTTCAGAAACATCCTGAGAAAGTCATGAGCAGGAAGGAATCACTCAGAGCCAGACCGTGACTAAAGCTTAGTAAAATTCATCTTTCTACACCTCTGTGCCTGTAAATCACCTGGAGAGATGCCTTTATTTTACATCTCTCCTCAGTCAGCTAATAGTCCTCCTTTTCCCTTTATGATTTCAAATCACAAGCAGCAGCATTAATATTTGTTGATTAAATAAAATTAAACTGATACAAAATACCATCAGTTAAGCTGATTTCTAAATTTCTGACATGTAAATTCCATAGACTATTGCTTTGACAGCTCAGGAAGTGATTCCTAAATTAAGGGCTACAGCCCCAAAGGAGGTTGGTACATATATGAGTGGGATCTCAGAACAACTGAAATTCCCCTCCTTTTGCTAGGGCATGCGGTCATGAGCTCATTAGAGTGGACCTCAGCTGGAACTGGGATAATGATGGGGTAAAATTTGGGAACAACTCTCTAAAGGCACATTCCAGCTCTCCTTAATGTGTAGCGAGCTGAGGAACAGAAGCAGCTTTGAAACTACTAGCAGAAAATAACACATAATTCAGAGGAGGGATTGAACAATGCCTATATATGTGAATCCCAGAGCCAAAAAAGCATTTTAACCTTGCAATGTAAAGCAAAGTCTAGTGCAAGCACACATGGATTCATTCTCGTCTTTATCTAAAATGATTTAGTTTTGTGCAATTCAGAAAGGCACCATGGCCATTATGAAGGCTCTGCGTAGTCCTTAAAGCTTTATAGCAAAACTGTAGAAAACTTGGGGGAAAAGAATAAAGCAGCGGAAATGAGCAGGAGAAGAGAGGGTGCTCTGGAAGAAAAGAAATCCCACTGTAGCTGATGCAGTCCTGGACTTCACCGCATCCTCAAAGGGAGAGATTGATGGTGGAAAGAAATCTGACCTCCATAGGAGAAGGCAATACCAGACTCCAAACGTGAGACCAATAGATGAAAAAGGCTACAATATGTCTAAGAGGATTAGTCTTCCATGATGGTTAGACAAATGCAATAGGAGAAACGGGCTCTTTTCACGAGGACTCCTTCCACCCTTCTCTCTATCTCAGTGCAAAAGCCAGAGCAGGGACGGCTGGAGAGCAGAGCTGGTGACTTTCAGCCCTATGTGGCTGTGACTAGAGGCTGGTGAGGAGAAAGAGAGAAATAAAAAAGCTATTGTCTTGATTCATAATCCCAGTTCAGGCCATTATCTTTACTCTTCAGTTAATTCTTTTTTTTTGTGTGTGTGTGTCTCATTGCTTGGAGGTAGGGACAGAATCTCAACACAGAAACAAAATCAGCTTTGTCTGTTAGTTCCACTGAACCAGCTGCCTCCACTAGAGCATTAGCTTCCTTGTGCTCGCAAAGCAAACACTGTCTTTACCTTCAAGTTCTTCCATGTAAGCAATGACACTGAAAAATCTGCAGGAAAAACTGCATGTTAAATAAATAAATTAAGAGCATTGAAGTCTGGGTTTAGGTGTTCCTGTCCCCAGATTTTAAAGCTATTTGATCCGATTTCATCTGTAGCTCATTTAAAGTCGAAGTTTGTCCTGGCGTGGGAGCAGAAGATTGTTTTGACACAAGCTGTGTATTTATACAGGGATGCTGAGGAGTCCCAACTGCTTCGGCTATGTCAAAAAGTCTGATGTAAGGCCAGCAGAAATATGCTGAGAAATTATAGTCATGCATCCCAGATTGGTTTGGTACTCCTGTCTCAATTGGTGGTAGTAGGATCAAGCTGTGTCTGCCATAATGATATTATGAAGAGTAAAAATAAGTACATTATGGCATAGATGACTTGTGCAGGAAATGTTGTAACTCTCTTTTCCTGGTCTCCAAATGCTTAATGCCCTTTTAATGTAACTGTTCCGCGTGTGAAAATGCTGATCTCTGGTCTCAAAAGAGTCTTTAATAAACAGGATAGAGTTATGTTAAATTTATTAAAAAAGAGGAAGCTGCTGACCCTACTGGTAATAAAGGGCATTTTGCCATTGAGTTTGATGAAGCCAGGATTTTAGCCAAGGATACTCAGGAAAAGGTTAAACTCCTTGAGTGTTTAAAATCTTTGGGTGAAACTGCTATATGGGTCCAAAGTACCATAGTAGGTGTCAACACAAGCACATGAAATATAGCAGCATCCAGAAGAACATTTCTCAGCTGGACATACTCGTTGTGTGTTCATGCACTCAAGGAGGTTAACGGAGCTAGTCTCCACCCGGGGGAAAGGGCACTGAGGTTTTCCCTGGATCAGAAAGTAAGTGGAGATGGGCATGTGGGTGTGTGCGTTGCGTGTGTGTCCCTTCCAAAATGACACGCTTCACCAAAAGCTGTAGTGCTCACAAAACTAACCCCACCGTAGCGCCTTGACCGACAATGGCATGTGCTGATGGAGTGTGGTTCCCCGAAAAGTCTCGTCTTCCTGCCAACTCCATTCCAACCCTTTCTGTCATCAGAGAGGAAACGATAACCACTGTGGTGAAGAGCCCAAGACAAAGGGGAAGGGTTTCTCCTGCACGTTCTTCTTCAGGTCATTCGCCTTCCCGCTCCCCAAGAGCGGAGCCAACTCCAGAGCCAGTTTATGTTTCAAAGATCAGGCAGCCTGTCCACAGACATGAGCAGGAGGCAACACCGACGTCTGCTGTTCCCGTGCTTTATGTCACAGAACCAGAGGACAGGCAAGGAGCAGCAGCTAGAGATGCCGTCACAGAGACCAAGGTGGAAGAGAAAAAACCCAAATGGGTTGAAGTGGAAGAAATAATTGAATTTAAGGTGAAAAAATCACCAAAACCTGCAAGGAAAAGAGGGTCTTCCCCAGCGAAACAAGAAAAAGATGACTCAGGGGTGTTAACATTCACTTTTCCCAGCTCAAGGCCTAGGCATTCCCCAGAAGATGATCCAAACACAAACAACTCCAACAATAAATTGGTGGAACAGTCAAAATCTTTGCCTAACGACAGTCTCTCTGAAGCTGATATCCAGCCCTTGGTGTATGCAACAGAGCAGGAAGGACCTCAAGTCAGCAATGAAGACAGAAGCTCTCCGTGTGGGTCCGAACAACTAGGAAATAATTCATCTGTGGATTGTGGAACCGAAGGAAAGAGCTTCCCACAGGAAACAAGTGCTCACTATGGGTCAGATGTCGCTTCCCCACTGCTTGCCTGCGGGGGTGAGCCTTTGATCTTCAGTTTTGGGACAGCTGCTGCAGACCAGCACGAACTTCTGTTCTCACCAGCAAGTCCAGAGGTTAAGGAAGAGGTAGATGAATTAGACGTATCTTGGCCTGTTGAAGAGGGGGTACCCGAAGTAATGCAAGATGTCCTTTCAGAAGAGGATAATGTCATTATAGTTGATGAACCAGAGGAACTACAGGCAGATGACATTAGCACCCGGGACCGCAAAATCTTAACCCACAATGGCAAAGTATTAACTTTGGAGGATCTTGAAGATTATGTTCCTGAAGAAGGTGAGACCTACGGGTGTGATGATCAGAACCATACGGCAGAGAAACCCTGTGAGATCTCCGTGCTCCAGACAGAGATTAACGAGCCAACGATTGGGAAGCCAGTGTTGCTAAATCTGGTGAGACCTGTGGTGTCCAAGCCCAGGCAAACATTTTTCAGCCAGTTTGAGGAGCACGTTCCCGGGGGCATGTTCATGTCAGCATCTAGAGTAACCGGTGTGCAGTCTGTAGGCCCCTCAAACATCTCTTTCCACGTGAGTGATACCTGCATGGCAGCGATGCCTGGACTGCATGCAGCAACAGCAGCAGCTTCTCCTGGTCCCTCCTTCACAGTGAAACCATCTTTCTGCACCGAAGTCCAGCTGTCAGCAGACAACGGACAGTCAAGCTTTAAAACTGAAGTTTCCACAAGAACCCTCAGCTATGGGACTGTTGGCGAGCCTGTTACCTTGCACATCAGCACAGAAGACCTCTCCCAAAGCTGAGCAGATGCAAGCATAATTTTCAACACAAAAGAAAGCAGCGTTTTAGAAAACACTAATCAAAATTGTTGTAGGTGAGGGGAATTGGTGGCAAAGATTACAAGGTAACATGTACAAGGGAATACATTTGAGGAAAATATATTTAAATATGATATGTCAAGCTTTTCCAGTCTTAAAGGGAACATGTCTGTCAGAACAGTTTGTAATTTTAAAAGCTTTGATCGAGGTGAACATATATCATTCCATAGCGGAGCAGTGATGGTAGGTTTAGGAAAAGCCTGATTCTCCTGCCTATGACAGAAACATAAATAAATAAGTGTGTTTTTGTCTATGAACTTAAAAATTATTTCAAGTGCCAATTTGTAAGTTATGGTGTGGCATGAAGGGGAAAGTGTCTAAGCTTTTCAGCATCCTTCAGCAGCCCAGGATAGGAGGACTGGTTCCAGCTAAAGCAATCTCCTGTCACTGTGTGTGCCTGAAGGTCAATGAAGCTTCACACTGCTTTGACTCTGCTGTACACTTTTGACACTAATTAGTTCAATCAAAATTTCTTCATAAACCTTTCAATATGCACATTCTGGCTACATTATTTCAAACTTCTGCCACAGAACAAAACATATAGAAAATATTGCATTTACTAGGGATGCAAAGGGCTGCTCAGACCTTTTGGTTGAAATCCTAATTTGACTGAAGTCAATGGTGAATGTCCCGCTGACTTGAGGAAGTAAGGATTTCGTTGTTCTCTTCTGCTTTAAGTAAAAAAAGACCATCTTTTTTAAATGACTGCTATTTTCAAGTCCACTTCCTAGTTGTCTAAAGATGTAGGTTTCATTATTCTGCATTCTAGTGTAGTGGATTTATAAACCATATCTTTGGTTTATAAATACAGATCTACTTAACGTGCACCAAAAGATTGAAGTGCTGCACAAAATGACTTCTGCATTTATAATCAAACGCTAACACATACAAAGAACCACAAATGTAGTCCTTGTCAATAAATATTACTGGAAGAATATTTGGTCTCCTGTATATGCCAGTGGTGAAACATTACTGTTAACAGATTGACGGATAACGTCTGCTATATGTGCGAAGAGGAATTCACCACTGAGCTACAGCAAAGTAGCAGGAGCACAAAGACAGTTTTAAAAAGAAAAAAAAAAAAAGAAAGAAAGAAAAGAGATCTTTACTGTAAATGCCTGGTTGAAAAATACATCTGTTCAAAATGTATTGGGCTGCTTGGAAGCACTGCCAGTTGCAATTGCATCGTGTTACTGTAATCACGTATGTTGAGATGTCTGGTAGAGGTACTGCCTTCTGTTGAGTTCCTCTGGAGCTTTGCGGGGGGAGTGCTGATTGCAAGGAGAAGGCTAAGATGCACTGAGCGTGGCCCGTTCCTGTTGGCTTCACCAAAATGGATGCTGCACAGACCTTCAACAAGTTGCTCAGACCTGGAAAGAAATGAGCTCACAGGCCCAGATATTGGTCCCAGTTGAAGTCAGCTGGAGTTTGTCATTGATCTCAGTAGGACCAAGCACTGGCCCTCTCTATCTGACAGAGATGGGGGGTGAAAAGTCCCAACACCTTGTCCCAGCTGAGTTGTGTAGCACTGTCACAATAGAAAATGTTTTCATTAGA